TGTTTTATATTTATCTGATAATTAAATTCGAACAATAAGTTTTGGTTAAATTCACGAATTGATTATTATTTAATAAAAAGATTGTTTTGTGTAACACAAAGCGAGGTGAAATCAATATGACAGTAACTAATAATAAATATAGTCTCTATTGTAGAAAGATCGGGGATTTGAATCTTCAGCGCTGTCTGTTTGTATGCTAGAGCTTCACAGAGATTGTTCTGCTTTCCAATTCGAGTTCGGCCTTTCGAACACGAGCGAATCAATAATTCGCAGCTTTAATTAACGTTTTGTTACAAACGCACACACATACATACTCGAATAGTGAGGGACACAGATAGCCAGATTGCGCAACGAATTTTATTATCTTACACTCCGGATCACCACACCGCAAGAGCAAATATTGTACGTTTCGCAGAGATTATTAAATTGCAAACTGAAATTCAGTTTCGAAACGTTCAAAACCAATTTCGTAATTTAATATATAAAGTAAATGCATTATGTAATCAACAGACATCCATTATTTGGGGTAACGAGTTCGTTGAAATAATTAATTTTATGATTAATACTGACAATTATTCAAGATATTACATTTCAGCAAATTTTAATTTCTATATTTCATAAATGAATACCTCTCAATTTTATAAATTTTTAATTTAAATATAAAATATAATGTTTGCTTGCAATCAACAATCATCAATTGTTTTAATTTAATTAACTTTTTTTTTTCATACAATAAAAATAATTTATTGTTTGATTGATTGATTGATTGAACAAACATTGGTTAAAATCATTTATTGTGCATCATTTGTGATTTATTACTGATAATAAAACGCACTGTGTAGTTTGTAAAATCGAAATTTACTGCATCTGTGGGCTTTTGTGAAATGCGTTTAATGCAGTTATTCGATAGTTAATTATTGACTTTGACCAGGTTTATTCTGGGAACCTGTCGCTGCTACAAAATTCCATTAGGCGTGTATACATATACTTTGTTTTATGTAGTACATCTTATTGTACAAACTTCTAAATTAATATTTAATATGTATTAGTTAAATTACTAAAATTACTTATTGTAATTGTTCATTACGACTGCAGGACAACTATCGAGTGACATTTGACAGTTTATGACAGTTAAGCAAAATATGTTGTGTCAAATATTTTGATGGGTGGCCAGAGTCTTTTGCAACTTAGTATTAATTGTAATACAAAGACCTCGGTCATACCTTTGGTCATAATTGTGACCAACAAAATTTACTGGAAAAGAAGATACCGCAATGACATTTTTCTTATTTATAGTAACTATCCATTATCGATACGAGAAGACATCTACATGACAATTGACAGATTATGAGAGCTAAGCAATATGTGTTGTGCCAAATAAATTAATGGGTGTTTGGTATATTTTACGTTTTACGTAAAATAATTTTTATAATATAAAATTTAATATTTATTAGTTAATTTACTTAAAAAAAATAAATCATGATTGCATTTTTCTTATTTGACAGTTTAAGCAAAATATGCCGTGTCAAGTAAATATAAAAAAAATAGTTAAAGGACCTCTTGATCTTTAGGTAGGAAACAAACAAAAAAAAAAACATTCCATTGAACTTCCTTCAAAAAAGGCAAAGTGGGGTATTTAATTTTCTTGTTAGTCGAAAATTCGCTTTAAAATAAAGAAAAACGTGTTTGAACGTTTTCGCGAAATATACGAAAGAATGAATAAGTAACAGGCATTTTCCGTTCCCTTTGATACACTGGTATTAGCGGAAAATGTAATAAGCCAATTTCTCGGGTCGAAACATTGACGGAGAAAACACCCCCCAAAAAATAAGAGAGAAAAACAAAGTGTTTTCCTGTCCATTCATGCTCGAATATTATAGGTTTTCTATACGTCGTAAAACGTCTGCACAATCCAAGAAACGCATTAATGCGTTTCTTATTTCCTTTTGCATTTGTAAAGTAATACGTGTTGCTTTTTGAGCGCGAATTTGAATTTATATGAAATACCCATTCGTAGACTTGTAAATAAAATCAAATAAACAAAATTATGTACATACGATTTTCCTTTATGTAATAGGACAATAATTTTAGATGGCATTTGCAATGAAATGATCATAAATTCTTAAAAATATGTATGAAATACAAGCTAGAAATGTTTATATTTATTTTTGCAATGAAATTTCGCCCCACGTTGGTCGCCAAAATAAATATGTATAATAAAATTATCTCAAAATCCTAATGCAAATACATTTCAATTAATAAGTTAATTGTTAATTTGTCAAAATTTCAAATACTAATTTGTAATTTAATAGTTGTGTAATAGTAACTTTGTCATAAATATCTTTTATTTTGATTCAAAAATAATGATCGTAGTTTCAAGCAACAAAATAAAGATGTATATAAATCCAAATAGCAAAGGTTTTGTAATATAATAATTTATAATGAACATTTGTGTTTATTTACGTATTTAAATATTTGTGTATTATAATAAAATCATATATAATGAATTCATCTTATTTTCTAATTAAAATAGTAGAAACTTTGTAAATAGGCATTTCTTCTTTTCTGACTGTATAATAAGAATAGATCTTTTTTTAATAATGTAATTCCTTTTTAATATATGGTTACGACTGTACCATAAATACTTTTCACTGAATGGTGCGAAGAAAACTTTATTAAATATAAATCAAGCTTTCAGCAAATATATATATAACGCTACGTACTTGAGTATAATACAATTCATTTGAAGCGTCTGTGTAGAAAATTAGATATGGATTTGCAAATTTTGATATAAAATTGACATTAAGTTTTATCAATACTTTATTATGACAATTGTTTATATGAAACTGTGTAACAAAGTAAGGGATCAAAAAATCAAAAAAAATACTTTGGGTGGTTTCATAAATATAAAATAAACGTAAAAAAACGAACAAAAAAAAATGTATAGTTCATAACACTAAATTTGGGTGCGATAAAAAGAAATTGAGTAGACAGGAATGAACGGAGAGTGGAAGAAAACGTGTGCTGGCTTTAGATGAAATAAAAAGAAGAATGTGTGTATGACAATGGGTGGGAGGGCTTTATTTTCCCATTTCCTAAATAAAATATGCTTCCTAAAAGTCGTCCTAACTGACCACAGATTGTTGTCTCTAATCCTAAAGCCAGGACCAAAAAGGTATATGGTATATCAGAGAAAGGATCTCGACACAAAAACCTTTTTTTTTATATTTATGTCTCTGATAACGTTTCCTTTGAACACTATATTTTCAAGAATCTATTTAAATACTTTTTACAAAAAAGAATCGATTTTCTTATATTATACAATTATTAATTTAATAGAATTAATATAGCTTTTACGTTCAATTAATTTAATTCTCTAAAAATAACAAAAATTTATAAATTTTCTCATCCAACTTGAAAAACATTTCATAATTTAACACTTTATAAATGGTATTTAATTAATTTTGTATATATTCAAAGTATTCATTTTGAAAATCAAATACAGATTTGAAAATTCAAAGCAAGATGAAACAAGAAGACATCTAATGAGTATAATAATTGTATATGGAAATGTAGGAATGAAGTAAATCTAATGCAATAAATATATCGAGCCGCATGTTCATAATTAACTTAAGCTCTGGAATAACTCGGCGTCCTCGTTAATTCTGCATTGAGGAATCAGAGTTGATCTATGTTAATGATTCTCGGTACAATTGTTGTCATTATGTCATAAGGTCCTGATTTCCAAGGATAAAATATATTACATGCTAATGGATAAATCAATATGCATATATATCAATAGGAAATCTATTAAGTTTAATGTTCCAATTTTATCAGAGACAGCGAACTACGAACATTTCCGTGTAAATGTTATTACGTTAAAGTTCTAATAGTAATTGTAACGTTATTTCTTTGTTCTCACCAATATAAATTAATATTATTAAAATTACAAAAAATTCATATTCATATTCATTCAAATTCAAAATAGATAAAATGAAAGAAAAGTATTCTTACGTGATTTTATAACATTTTTATGGAATTTAGAAATATTGTTAATCATATTTTTTTAGATTTTTATAATTAACATATACTTTATTAGTAATATGTTAAAATAAATAATTTTATATTTTTATAAGAAACGGACAGAAAATATTTGAAGAAAAACAAGGAAATAGATTGAAATGGAATAAAATCATTTAAAATATAATTAAATAAAATATGAAATGAAATGGAATGAAACGAACTAAAATTGAATAAAGCAGTGAAATACAATAAAATCTATTGAAAATGTATAGAATATGAGAGAAAATATAATAATGGTACAAAATATATGAAAACAAAATCAAATATATTGAAATAACAGAGAATGTTATATTTATGAATAATGAAGATCTTTTGCGTTCAATTATATTAATATTGATTTTATATAATATTGCGACACAATAAATATTTAATTTGTTCATTAACCTTAATTCGAATAATAATCAAACACATATTTTGGAGCTTACAAACCACATTTCATACAAAAGCTGCACTAATGATAAAACTTCGCATGCGACGGTAAAAGTTTTCCGCGATTTTTAAAAAAAAGTAATAAATGGAGAGAAAAGGAGTGCGCTCGGTCGATTCAGAATCCCTCGAGTCTGCTTTATCCTACCCATATTTATTCATATAAATATTTCTTTTTTTTTTGCAACTACTAAACTCAACGATGATTAAGTTTCGTTCTGATGATGAGGATGCCACAGGTTGCAGACACATCTTCGAGAGCGCATTCCCAAAAAATCGATAAAACCACTTTCGCCCATCGAATTGGATGGCCCTCCATAAAAAAAAGTGAAACATAAAATATGGAGGGATGCTCGACGGAAAAGTTAATTTTGAAAAATCAAAAATAAATGAAGTTATGATATAACCGTGAGTTGTATTATTTCTATTTGTGCGATGAAATATATGAAAGCTGTGCATAATAGAGTTGAACACCTGTGGGATGCTTTTACCTTGTTCTTTTCTAAAACATGTCCCGGCGGTGCCACCAATTCTGAGACTCCCGCAAGAGCGGATGCGTATGGGTAGAGGAGGCTCTGATTTATGTGAACGCTCCAACCAGTCTGTTGCTTCACAAAACGCGACTCCAGTTGATTGTTGCTGCTGCTTTTTCTTGAATCGAGCTGCTGCTCTCTCCTTCTGTTTATGTTTCTGCCACAGATGCAGATGCTGCTGACTGCTGGTCTCTGCTGCTACTGCTTCTACTGTTGTTGTTGTTGTTATTGCGTGCGCGAAACTCAGCTCTCGCCGCTCACATAATTGGCTTTTATAGATGTGCACGGGAGGAGAGTGCGGATGTGTGCGTGCGTGTGTTTGTGATGTAGTATATTTATGAGGGTGGGCGCGGGATGAATAAAGGGGCACCGTGGCATCACCGCCTCCACCGTCTCCGTCGCGCACCCAAAAACTCGCAGACGGCGTCGCGACGCCGCTCCTCGCAGGTGCGTCGACGCGCATGCGACGCCATTTACATTTCATTGATTGGCAGCACCACAGGCCAAAGCACACACACAAACTCACGTACAACCAACACACATATACATTCTCTCAACCTAGCGACACGTCTACCATAATTGCAATAACAATTATTATAATGCAACACAATATGCTGCCCATTCCCTCATATCTTAATTGGATCTGAAACTAGCCAGTCCTGATAACGCCGCATCGATATTTCGCTCAAACACATATTCAACTTTAACTTTTCCTTCTGACTTTTCCCCAACCGTTATTAACGTCAATTATCACGGCATGGATGGATCATTTCGCGTGCTGCCATAAATTCTCTAGAGATACAGATCAAAATGTACAGAATTCTGAACGAATCATACCAGAAGCAGATTGGAACTATACTTTTTAACCATCTACAGTTATCGTATAACGCGGTGCTTATACAAAGCGATTACGGTATTCTAAATACACAAATTATCTTTTAGGAAACATGTATGTGCGTACATATTTTTTTCATAAAATCAATTTTTAACCTGTTTTCTCTGAATATAATAAAAAATCAGTAAACATTTAGATATGTTTCTGTTAATTAAGTGTTTAGTCGAATTATTAAAAATCAAAATTATTATTAAGTCTCGTATTGTCGTATTGTCGATATTGTCGTATATCCGCTTGTCCGTTATTCTTGTCCGCTGTTCTTGATTTATAATCTATCTTGTCATGTACTTATGATAATAAGACAACTATATTATTTGCCAAATTTGTGTTTAATGAAATCAAACACAATTCATGTAATGAATTATACTGACCTGTTGTTAGTTTTTCACATTTTTTCATGAGAATCATTTTTCCTTCTTCATTGCCCGTCGTCTACCGATTTGACTAGTCTCAAATTTCTGAAAATAATAACGATGATGTAACAACTTATTTGTAAAACATTGAAATATTTGTAGAGAAACATTTTTTTTGTCGTAGTCCATTAGACGTTAGTGAATATTAGACTTTCACAAATATACATACAGTACGATTTCATAGATATCTCTAATAGTCTCTTCATTTCTTCATCTTTTGGTCTAGCTAAACCTAATGCATTCTGTAATTTCATTCTTATAAGATTACTTCTAACTTATAAGTTTGAATTCTGAAAAAAAAAACCAGCTAGGAAATTAATAATATTTTTTTTTTGTATGTAAATCTTATAAAATGAAGTATTTTATAACTTTACAATAATCAGCTTTTTCCATGGTTACAACGAAACACATCTGTTACAATAATACTTTGATAAACTACATTTTTACAATATGTTAACCAAAGTTTATTCTAGAAATTTTCATATTTATCCTTGCAGTATTTGTAACATATTGTAGTAGCAAATAACAAAGGCTTTGTAGCGCGTTTCGTTCTCTTTGATCAAATCTGACCCTTGATCTAATTTGTTATGTATAACCTACTCAATTTAAATGTATATACATATATACAATATATTTTAAAAACAATCAAAATCATTGAAATATGAAAAATAATATGAAAAAAGAAAATCAGATTGTTTTGCCAATAATTAGAATATTTTTTGATTAAAAATCTTTTTATACTTAATTTACTTTAGTACTTGTAATTTACTTAATTTACAAATGAATAGTTCTTATATATAGTAACAATAATGGATAATTTTATTTTTTTTTTATTTTAAAAATTACAACTTTCCATATGTAAATATGGAATGTTGAAAGGCAATATTTTTGTTTGTTTTTTTTTTAATCCTTATTAAAATAATGGTAAATAATAAAGTAAATTATATAAATGCATATTTGTAGTAGTCTAAGATAATCTGTTGTTGCTTGGGTTTTCATATGCAGTTAAATATATATTTACCTTCATAATTCTGTGTTTCGAGAAACAGTATTTGTATACTCAACAATTATAATCATTTGATAATCGGACTAAAATAGATAGTAAAACATCATTTTTACTATCATAGTATAGTGAATTATTTTATAGGATAAAATATATCATTCAATTATCAACATATGAAGATGTTTCCCATTTGGAAGAACGTTACCAGAAGGGCGGAACT